TGAGGGTGCTACTACTGGGGGTGCTGAGCCTGGGGGTGCTGAGCCTGGGGGTGCTACTACTGGGGGTGCTGAGCCTGGGGGTGCTGAGCCTGGGGGTGCTACGCCTGGGGGTGCTGAGCCTGGGGGTGCTACGCCTGGAGGTGCTGAGCCTAGGGGTGCGGAGCCTGAGGGAGCTGGGCCTGCTCGTGTGGCGTCTGGCGGTGCTGAGCCTGGAGGTTCTCCGGGTGCTTCGTCTAGGCGGGAGCCACTCTCTCCACAGGAGCTGCGAGAGTGGTTTGCCCGGTGCTGGAGGCGTGCTGCTGGAGCTGGAGGTTCTTCGACTGCTGAGGGTGCTGGTGCCGTGGGTCCCGGAGGTGCTCGTACTGGGAGTACTGGAGCTGCTGGGCCTGCGGGTACGCCTGGAGCTGGAGCTGCTGAGGGTGTTGGCGCTGAGGCTCCTGCTGTCGGTCCTGGAGGCGGTTCTGCTGGGGGTGCTACTGGTGCTGCTGGAGGTACTGGAGCTGGAGGTGCTGCTGGCGCTGGTGCTGCCGCTGGGGGTACTGGTGCTGTCCCTGCTGTGTCTGGAGTCGCCGCGCGGCCTCGGCCGTACTTCGTTCCGCTCCTTCAGCAGGTTCTTGGTCTCCCGCCTTCAACTGGTCCTCCTCCTCCCTTAGAGTGTCCACAGCCTGTCCCGTCCCAATTACAGTTACAGCCGGCCTCCACACTGCCCGCTCCTTCTCCCTACACTGGTCCTACTGGAGGTCTTGCTGAGCGTCGTGAGCCTGCGTCTCGCCCTGCGTCGCCTGTCTGTCTTGCTCGCACTAGTGGCCGTGGTTCGCGTCAGCGTCCTCCTCCTGTCCCTGGCACGCACCGGATGTCTCTGCGTCCGTCCACTGCTCCTCTGCGTGCCCCTTTGCCTTCTCCTCCTGAGTCCTCTCTTCCTGCTCTTCCCGACCCGGAGTCGGACTCTCTTCGTGCTGCCAGTCCTACTGTCACGCGTCTCCTTGCTACTGTCGTCACTGACCCTTCCTTTGAGTCCACTGCTGCGTCTGCCCTAGTTGCTGAGCTCGTCGACTTTGCTGCTCGCTGTCGTCTAGACTACGCTGCTAGTCTTGTCGTTGAGTCTGAGTCTGTCTGTCCTCCGTCCGTCGGGGGTGAGTGTGCCCTTGGCACGGACGTCCTTGAGGACAGGCAGGAGGAGTTCCAGTGTTTGGCTGCTGCTTCACCTCATCTCGTGTCCGTACTGCTTACCCCTGAGGGAGACCCGGATGCACTTGACATCCCGACTCCGCGCTCTTATTCGGAGGCGATAGAGGGTCCCTACTCCTCTCAGTGGCAGGCAGCTATGGACACAGAGATGGCTTCCTGGAAGTCCACAGGCACCTACGTTGACGAGGTTCCCCCGCCTGGGGCGAACATCGTCAGTGGCATGTGGATTTTCAGGGTGAAGCGACCGCCGGGTTCTCCGCCTGTCTTCAAGGCGCGTTACGTGGCTCGTGGCTTCAGTCAGCGGCAGGGAGTTGACTACTTTCAGACCTTCTCTCCCACCCCGAAGATGACCACTCTTCGGGTACTGCTGCACATAGCTGCTCACCGCGACTACGAGCTGCACTCTCTTGAATTCAGCACTGCTTTCTTGCAGGGCAGCCTGCACGAGGAGATCTGGCTGCGTCGCCCACCTGGCTTCACTGGGTCTTTTCCTCCTGGCACCCAGTGGAGCCTCCGGCGGCCAGTCTACGGTCTCCGCCAGGCACCGCGTGAGTGGCACGACACACTGAGGACTACACTTGCGGCTCTTGGGTTTGCTCCCTCTACTGCTGACCCGTCGCTGTTTCTGCGCACCGACACTTCTTTGCCGCCGTTCTACATCCTCGTATACGTCGACGACTTGGTCTTTGCCACAGCTGACACTGCTGGACTCGCCCACGTGAAGTCCGAGCTGCAGAAGAGACACACGTGCACAGACCTGGGTGAACTGCGCAGCTACCTTGGCTTGCAGATCACCCGGGACAGAGCACGCCGCACCATTACCCTGACTCAGTCACACATGGTGCAGCAGGTCCTTCAGCGCTTCAGCTTCACGTGCTCCTCGCCTCAGGCCACTCCTCTGCCTACTCGCCACTCGCTCTCAGCTCTGCCTTCGGATGAGTCCGTAGAGTCGAGTGGCCCGTACCCAGAGCTTGTTGGCTGCCTCATGTACCTGATGACCTGCACACGACCTGACCTCGCATACCCTCTTAGCATTCTCGCACGCTATGTTGCTCCTGGGAGACACAGACCGGAGCACATGGCTGCAGCGAAGAGGGTGTTGCGTTACTTGTGCAGTACGTCGGGCATGGGGCTTGTGCTTGGAGGGCAGAGTCCAGTGGTCCTCACTGGGCACGCAGACGCTTCTTGGGCTGACGACCAGGCTACGCAGCGGTCGTCACAGGGTTACACCTTCAGCCTTGGTTCCGGCTCTGTTTCGTGGCGGGCTACCCGCTCGTCTTCTGTTCTCGGCTCCAGTTGTGAGGCTGAGATCTACGCCGGGGCCATGGCTGCACAGGAGCTTCGCTGGCTCACCTACCTGCTGACTGACCTCGGAGAGCCGCCTCGTTCTCCTCCAGTGCTGTACGTAGACAACAAGGCCATGCTGGCCTTGTGTCGAGAGCAGAGACTGGAGCAGTGTCGACAACAACGATTCGGCGCAGCGTCTAGACCCTCCATTTTCGGGGGTCCTACCGACTACAATACACGGCGTTGCGACTAATGCGGGTCTGGCAAGAGAAACGGGTTTCGGCTTCAGGAGGCGAGAGAACGACCTACCAAAAAAGACTTTTTGCGGTGGCCGGGTTTCGCGGCTAAGCGGCGGTAGCAGATCGAGCTCCCTACTGGCCAAAGTCTTACGACGGCTCACATACCTCACAACAGGTGCCTTGAAGGCGTTATAAGACCTGTTGGCCCTGGACGAAAAAGGTGGGGCCCTGTGTTTAGCCCTGTGCTGGTTAAAAAAGGCGCGGGTATTGCGCTGGTTCGACAGCTGGGCATACAAGAAATAAGTTCAAGCGACAATGTTTCGGCCCAAACAAAAACGGACCATTGGCAATGTTTACCCCGCCGACAAAGTCGGGACTAAAGAAGTTGTGGTAGCTCGTGGGATTTCTCCTGATTCAACGGTCTACCCGACGAAGGTGTAGCAACGAAGAGAGGGGTTCCCAGAGCTGAGGAGCTTTAAACACGATAGGCACGGTGGGCAGCGAAGCGGCCGGCTGAGAGTTTGATATGATAAACTCGCTCCGACTCTATAGCGTTCGCGCCTTCATCGAACGCCAGAAAAATCGCGGGCAATACAGAGAATACCTCATCCGACAAAAGCGGACGCTGGGTGAACGGCGGCAAGCGAAATTTCCGGGGGGTGAAGAAAAACAATGGAGGGGAAATTGTGGGTGATCCAACACGTCTCCTGAATGATAGGTTGAGCCCATACACCATTCCACCGTGAATTTCGGGGTCTACTAGATGGACTTCGGAAGGGTCAGAATTCTCACATTTGGAGGCACGGCGAGGGGTGTATTGCCAAGGATACATGGGATCTGCTAAGCAATTCCGACGGGTATGAAGACGGGTGAACGTCGGAGTACCAGGGTCAACGGCGGAAACGTCGGGGTTACAAGGCGGAAACGTCGGGAGTGTTGCCGCAACCATGATTTTCGAGTGACATTTTCGACGGTGGGAGACGGGTGAACGTCTGTTTGCCAATTGTTTAAGCGATTTACAGTGTACTTCAAGAGTTTACATGGGGGAGTTCAACGGCGAGATCTGCGGCGTTGATGCGCGCTAGGGTCCGTGAAAATCGGCCTCGGAACACCCATAGGTACTGGGTTCCATGCAAAAAAAGCACCTCTTGTTCGTGGGTTGCTTGGGTGGTTAACTGCACGAAAAAAATGGTGACCGGGTGGGCGTGCTAGAAACACCGATTCTTTCAGAGGACAACCTGCAGGCGACCAAGTTTTACGTGGTGTTTTAATTTCCGACATTTACGGGTGCAATGAGCAGTTCCGACAAGAGTCTTAACGGAGTCGGCGGGGTCGTCGACAGTATCCGTGCCAACGTCGGAGTTGCAGCGTTGCTTGATTAAGCGCGCGAAGGCACTTGTCGTTAATTGAAGTAGCCGTACAAATCGGAAGCTGCTCGAGGGTACCAACGACAACAACAGGAGAAATTCTGCAATAGGTGGAGGGAGAAGGTGACAGCTGTTTTCGCCCCTGCGCGGAGGATCTCAGCAAGTCACGCCAACGTCGCCGAGGTAGCTGACGTCATCGGTAGTTCAAGTTCGAGTTTGAAAAAATATTTCGCGGGTCAGGGGGAGGAACAGCAGCTGTTTTTTGCCTCTGCCCGGGAGTTTTCGGAGAAAGGCGACAAAAACCTCGGCGAGTCACGCCAAGACCGCCGGAGGTGCTGACGTAGCATGACCCTAATTACGTGTCCAATGGAATCAATTGAAGGGAATCCCGTCTGTGTTACTTGACCCGACCTTCTCGCCGATCGTCGCCACCACGCTTCAACGACCTCGCAAAATCGACGCGACTTTCGACGCCGAGCAAAAACGATCCAGGGTCACCACCAATGGAGTTTTTTGGGATGGACACGAGTATTGTGATACCGAGAAAATCCAACACGGGCGCGTCAGTGACAAAAACAATCAATTTCGGGTGGCAGCTGGTGACAGCTGGAGAAGCTGCAGCAATCGAGGATTTCGATTCTGCCACAGCAATGAGACAACGAACTGGATTTCGGCCTGCACATGCTGCAGCAGCAGTCACGACAACAAGACAGCAGGCGAACACGAACATGATCGAGACGAACATGTTCGTGTTCGCCCAGGGGAAAATTCACTATAGTCACACATGTCAGAAAACAGTTTTCAAGGTTCAGGATGATAGCAAAATGTGTGCAGGGTGTATATGTGTGCATGCAACGAACCCAATACTACAACATCACATACTGTGAAGGGAAATGTCAAAGTCTAACAAATTCCTACACTAAGTGACTAAGGCGCCACTGCTACTACCAACAACAGCATCCTCTCCACCAGCTGTGTCGTCAGCCTCCACACCCTCCTCCTCCTCCTCCTCGTCATCCTCCTCTGCCCCGTCGCCCTCAATGGCGAACTCTGGTGGTGCGACGCCTCTCGGTCGGCGGCCCTCGCCTATCCTCTGGCCAGGGTGTGAACTGTACCATGATCTGAGAATCATGACAGCTCGCGTCCTCTGAGAGGCCAGGCGATGCCGCTTCCAGGAAATGAGGTTGCGACCAAGGGAGAACACCCGCTCACTCGAAGCAGACGTGGCAGGGATGGCGAGATATTCCCGGGCCATGCGCCTCAGCGTCTGCATGTTGGTGGCACTGCGCCAGTACTCTAGCGCTGTCACGTCGCACCGCACCCTCTCGGACAAGTACCTGCTAACCTCGTCATCCTGCACCATCCCACCCGCCCCCGCCTCCTGGCTCGCCGACAGACGCGCCGCAAGTCGTCGGCGACTAGGGAGAAACTGCGCGTCATCGTCGTCCTCCTCGTCTCCCTCCTCCTCCTCCGCAACGGGGGCAAGTGGGGTCGGCCGTGGAGCAAGCTCTGCAGCCCGGGCCTGGTACTCGGCCACGCGGTCGCGCACCAGCTTGATCACCTCGCCAGACGCCGGACGCGGCCTCACCCTCCTGTCGGTCTCGGGATGCAGCTTCTCCCAGTGCGCGTCGTCGAACCACGCCGCCTTCATGGATGGGTCCAAGAAGGTGGCGATCCAGTACTCGTTGCTGGCGATGTAGGCGTACTTCTTCAAGTGGCTCAGCGCCGCCACGATCATCGGCTGCAGCGTCGGAGATGGCCCCTTGGCAAGGCGCGGCTCCATGGCGTCGATCAGGCCGTTGTAGTACGGCACCACCATCGACACAGTCGGGTACGCCGCCCCCTCTGCTGCCTTGGAGACCTTGGAGAAGGGGCTTAGGAATGTCTTCACCGCCTGCAGGGTCTCCCAGTCTGCGTCTGTCAGGCGCAAACTCTCCACCTTCTTCTTGTCGGTCTTCGACAAGCCCTGTCGGGTAGAGGGAATGGTTTGGGGGGAGGTATGAGGGAAACTGTGATTATGGAGGAGGATTATGGCATCCGGCCGGCAACATACAAGCATGACCAACAGTATTGTGTAGACGTGCTAACACACCACACCATGACATAACCACACACTACAACCCACATAAAACACAAGTGTTACCTGTGTCTGGGCGAAGAAGACAGTGATGGGGTTCTGCAGAACACCCGCACGCTCGACCATGTCGTGGGTCGACCCCCAGCGCGTAGGACTGTCCTGCACCAGCTTCAACGCCGGCTTCGGCGTGGCGGGGTTGGCCTGCGAGTTCAAGGTCCGCTGTAGGCCCAAGAAAGACCCCGAGCGCTGTGGAGAGAAGCCAATCCACGACGCCATCTCTCTCAGTATTTTCAGCAACTTCTCTATGTCTCCAAGCCAACTTCTGCTCCTGTGTCTCCAAGCCAACTTCTGCTCCTATGTCTCCAAGCCAACTTCTGCTCCTATGTCTCCAAGCCAACTTCTGCTCCTATGTCTCCAAGCCAACTTCTGCTCCTATGTCTCCAAGCCAACTTCTGCTCCTATGTCTCCAAGCCAACTTCTGCTCCTATGTCTCCAAGCCAACTTCTGCTCCTGTGTCTCCAAGCCAACTTCTGCTCCTGTGTCTCCAAGCCAACTTCTGCTCCTATGTCTCCAAGCCAACTTCTGCTCCTGTGTCTCCAAGCCAACTTCTGCTCCTATGTCTCCAAGCCAACTTCTGCTCCTATGTCTCCAAGCCAACTTCTGCTCCTGTGTCTCCAAGCCAACTTCTGCTCCTGTGTCTCCAAGCCAACTTCTGCTCCTATGTCTCCAAGCCAACTTCTGCTCCTGTGTCTCCAAGCCAACTTCTGCTCCTATGTCTCCAAGCCAACTTCTGCTCCTATGTCTCCAAGCCAACTTCTGCTCCTATGTCTCCAAGCCAACTTCTGCTCCTGTGTCTCCAAGCCAACTTCTGCTCCTATGTCTCCAAGCCAACTTCTGCTCCTATGTCTCCAAGCCAACTTCTGCTCCTGTGTCTCCAAGCCAACTTCTGCTCCTATGTCTCCAAGCCAACTTCTGCTCCTGTGTCTCCAAGCCAACTTCTGCTCCTGTGTCTCCAAGCCAACTTCTGCTCCTATGTCTCCAAGCCAACTTCTGCTCCTGTGTCTCCAAGCCAACTTCTGCTCCTATGTCTCCAAGCCAACTTCTGCTCCTGTGTCTCCAAGCCAACTTCTGCTCCTATGTCTCCAAGCCAACTTCTGCTCCTGTGTCTCCAAGCCAACTTCTGCTCCTATGTCTCCAAGCCAACTTCTGCTCCTATGTCTCCAAGCCAACTTCTGCTCCTGTGTCTCCAAGCCAACTTCTGCTCCTATGTCTCCAAGCCAACTTCTGCTCCTGTGTCTCCAAGCCAACTTCTGCTCCTGTGTCTCCAAGCCAACTTCTGCTCCTATGTCTCCAAGCCAACTTCTGCTCCTGTGTCTCCAAGCCAACTTCTGCTCCTATGTCTCCAAGCCAACTTCTGCTCCTATGTCTCCAAGCCAACTTCTGCTCCTATGTCTCCAAGCCAACTTCTGCTCCTGTGTCTCCAAGCCAACTTCTGCTCCTATGTCTCCAAGCCAACTTCTGCTCCTATGTCTCCAAGCCAACTTCTGCTCCTGTGTCTCCAAGCCAACTTCTGCTCCTATGTCTCCAAGCCAACTTCTGCTCCTGTGTCTCCAAGCCAACTTCTGCTCCTATGTCTCCAAGCCATCTTCTGCTCCTGTGTCTCCAAGCCAACTTCTGCTCCTGTGTCTCCAAGCCAACTTCTGCTCCTGTGTCTCCAAGCCAACTTCTGCTCCTATGTCTCCAAGCCAACTTCTGCTCCTATGTCTCCAAGCCAACTTCTGCTCCTATGTCTCCAAGCCAACTTCTGCTCCTATGTCTCCAAGCCAACTTCTGCTCCTATGTCTCCAAGCCAACTTCTGCTCCTGTGTCTCCAAGCCAACTTCTGCTCCTGTGTCTCCAAGCCAACTTCTGCTCCTATGTCTCCAAGCCAAATTCTGCTCCTGTGTCTCCAAGCCAACTTCTGCTCCTGTGTCTCCAAGCCAACTTCTGCTCCTATGTCTCCAAGCCAACTTCTGCTCCTATGTCTCCAAGCCAACTTCTGCTCCTATGTCTCCAAGCCAACTTCTGCTCCTGTGTCTCCAAGCCAACTTCTGCTCCTATGTCTCCAAGCCAACTTCTGCTCCTGTGTCTCCAAGCCAACTTCTGCTCCTGTGTCTCCAAGCCAACTTCTGCTCCTATGTCTCCAAGCCAACTTCTGCTCCTGTGTCTCCAAGCCAACTTCTGCTCCTATGTCTCCAAGCCAACTTCTGCTCCTATGTCTCCAAGCCAACTTCTGCTCCTGTGTCTCCAAGCCAACTTCTGCTCCTATGTCTCCAAGCCAACTTCTCCTCCTGTGTCTCCAAGCCAACTTCTGCTCCTATGTCTCCAAGCCAACTTCTGCTCCTATGTCTCCAAGCCAACTTCTGCTCCTATGTCTCCAAGCCAACTTTTGCTCCTGTGTCTCCAAGCCAACTTCTGCTCCTATGTCTCCAAGCCAACTTCTGCTCCTATGTCTCCAAGCCAACTTCTGCTCCTGTGTCTCCAAGCCAACTTCTGCTCCTATGTCTCCAAGCCAACTTCTGCTCCTATGTCTCCAAGCCAACTTCTGCTCCTATGTCTCCAAGCCAAATTCTGCTCCTGTGTCTCCAAGCCAACTTCTGCTCCTGTGTCTCCAAGCCAACTTCTGCTCCTATGTCTCCAAGCCAACTTCTCCTCCTGTGTCTCCAAGCCAACTTCTGCTCCTATGTCTCCAAGCCAACTTCTGCTCCTATGTCTCCAAGCCAACTTCTGCTCCTATGTCTCCAAGCCAACTTTTGCTCCTGTGTCTCCAAGCCAACTTCTGCTCCTATGTCTCCAAGCCAACTTCTGCTCCTATGTCTCCAAGCCAACTTCTGCTCCTATGTCTCCAAGCCAACTTCTGCTCCTGTGTCTCCAAGCCAACTTCTGCTCCTATGTCTCCAAGCCAACTTCTGCTCCTGTGTCTCCAAGCCAACTTCTGCTCCTATGTCTCCAAGCCAACTTCTGCTCCTGTGTCTCCAAGCCAACTTCTGCTCCTGTGTCTCCAAGCCAACTTCTGCTCCTATGTCTCCAAGCCAACTTCTGCTCCTATGTCTCCAAGCCAACTTCTGCTCCTGTGTCTCCAAGCCAACTTCTGCCCCGCTCTTCTCACTCCCCACACTTCTTTCAGCTCTCGCCCTCACAGCACTGTTTCACACCTTTGGCACTTCCTTAATTTCCCCTACTCCCCCCTTCCCCACCCACACTCCCCGTCCTCTAACCCCTCCCCCTTTCCCCCCCTTCCAGCTCCTCACCTGCCCGGAGTCCAACAGGGCTGCCAAGTGGGACTAGACTAGACTGTTGGACTAGTGGGCCCACCACACCATGCCTTGGTAGGCCGAGGCACTGCCGTAATTACCTGAGAAGTGAGCTTCCGATCTTGTATCGTGCTCTCACCAACCGGTTCTGAAACCAAGAAACAAACTAAAAACTGAGGAAAAAACCGCCTACATCTGAGTTGCTTGTGATAATTGTCAGAAGCGTCTCATGCACCCTCACTTGTCGCTCGCCTGCCCGAACCCCCATGGTCTCCTTCACATCGTGGCTCTCTTCGCTTCCCTCCTCCTCTGGGTTTACTCACTGGTCAGACTCATGCCATTCTCAGGTCATTCTCAGGTCATTCTCAGGTCATTCTTAGGTCATTCTCAGGTGATTCTCAGGTTATTCTCAATCCAGTATCGAGTCACACTAATATCAGGTCACTGTTGAATCCATGTGTCTCATGTTAATGGCACTCTCAATGTTGCATCCTCTGTGAATGCCTGCCGTGGTGGCATCGCGGGGCTAACGAGGGGGATTGATAATATACAACATCGCTCCCTTCTTCCTCCCCCATTCCCATCTCTCACCACTTGTCTCACACCCACCTCACTCGCATTTCCCTCTGGCCCCTCCTGCCCTGTCCCACCTGCGTCTCCCACCACCAACCCCTCCCCCAAAAAAATCCACTTTTACATGATCACTTTCCCCCCCCCCCCACCCTGTCACTCACCGCCTCTCTCTCACCCACTGCACCGAACTCTTTCTCTGACTCCTCCTGGGCTGTCCCGCCTCCATCTCCCACTAGCAACCCCTCCCCCAAACACTCACTGCATTTAAAAACAAATCTACTTTCACAACGCCACTTCCTCCCCTCCACCCCATCACTCACCGCCTCTCTCTCACCCACCCACCGGACAAAGGTTGGCACGTGAGTGGTGGGGAGGGTGGGGACAAAGATGGGAGACACGGATGGGCAGGAGGGGCAGGTGGAGCGAGGGGGACTGCTGTGGCAGGAGGGGGAGGGCTGTGCATGCATTGGCCTCTTGGCCTCACCCAGACCTTCCGCTCACTCCCACCACCATCTCACTCCCATCACCATTTCCCTCCCACCACCATCTCACTCTCACCACCGTCTCACTCCCACCACCGTCTCACTCCCACCACCATCTCACTCCCATCCCCCACTCACTCCCACTGCCATCTCACTCCCATCCCCCACTCACTCCCACTGCCATCTCACTCTTATCCCCCACTCACTCCCACTGCCATCTCACTCCCATCCCCCACCCACTCCCACTGCCATCTCACTCCCATCCCCCACTCACTCCCACTGCCATCTCACTCCCATCCCCCATTCACTCCCACTGCCATCTCACTCCCATCCCCCACTCACTCCCACTGCCATCTCACTCCCATCCCCCACTCACTCCCACTGCCATCTCACTCCCATCCCCCACTCACTCCCACTGCCATCTCACTCCCATCCCCCACCCACTCCCACTGCCATCTCACTCCCATCCCCCACTCACTCCCACTGCCATCTCACTCCCATCCCCCACTCACTCCCACTGCCATCTCACTCCCATCCCCAACTCACTCCCACTGCCATCTCACTCCCATCCCCCACTCACTCCCACTGCCATCTCACTCCCGCCCCCACTCACTCCTGTTGGAATTAAGGCTAATTCGGGTTGCTCCAATAAACATATGTAGTGATACATCTACACTATAGTAGTGTAGAATACATTGGTTGGGTTGGGAGAACTTGTGGTGTACACTCTATAGAGTGGACCACCTCCCAATCCCCATAGGTTAGGGTTCTCTTTTGTTGGAACTTCACTTGGAAACCACTTTGGTTCTAGCATGGTTCATGCCCAAGTGGGCTCCTAGGATTCCTAGGCTTTAGGAGGAAGTTCTAAGACTACTAAAGCTTCCGCTAGTAGCTTAGTTCATTCTAACATGGTATCAAAGCTAGGAAGGCCTAGCAATCTGTTGGAATAGGAGCTACTCAAGAAATTTGATCATAACACGTTGGTGGAAGCTAAATAGCTTCCATCCCTCCCGAAGGGCTGCCGAAATTGCACCGTGGCAGACTCTAGACGTGGGAGGGGAGGAGGAGAGAAGAAAACTGCTGGAAATCGCGTGGATCCGTTCGGGAGGACGAGAAGAGCGACATCCATTCACGGAGGCGCTCAGTCAACTTTGGCCGATCAAGACGTGCAGCATACCGTTGGAAAGGTCTCGGCACGATCTACAACAATTGCTTCGGGGTCGTTGCCAATCGACGAGCGGATCGGACGCAATTCGCGAAATACAGTCGGCGGACGAATTGGCAAATCGCAAATCGGGGAAGATTTAAAACGCGGAAAAAAGATTGGAGGGCAGACGCCAACAGAGGAGGCCAGGGCGCATCCAACAAGCCAAAAATCGGGAGAAACGGTGGAGTCTTCGTCGACGGGAAATCGGCCAACTTCGACGAGTTTAAGCGGCCAGCTCAGACGCGGGATCCAGGAGCGCGATACATCATCGGAACGGTCTCGGAGCAAGGATTCATCTAAGCCAAACGGCTCATCATTCGGACGTTCGAGCACGGAGTTACGCTCTAATAACCAAGAGGGTGTGAATCTGCCCGCATCATCTTCACCGTCACTGCCGTTGCCTCCACCACCACCTCAACGTCAATCTTCAGCGCTCCTGCCGCAAATGGATCATGACTCAGACGAAAGGAAGCTAGAGAGTGCGCCAAAGTTCGACGGGAGCGACTATTGGACTTGGAGCTTCCGATTCGAGCAATGGGCAGAGGCACACGATCTATGGGGGTACTTTGATGGTTCGGAAGAGCGGCCTGCATCGGGTGACGCACGGCTAAAGTGGGAGAGGAGAAATCAGAAGGCATTTGCCCAATTCTGCAATGCCTTGGTGCCAGATGAGTTGATTCGCTTGGTACGAGAGTTCGGCGGCAAGACCGAGTTGGGAAACGCACCTGTTGATGGCGGAGCAAGAGCGGTCACCCAAGTTCCTGCAGGCACAGCAGCGGCATACACACGAGTGAAGGAGTTCTACCTTCAGCGTGGATTGTGTAACCGGATGGCACTCTCTGAGGAACTCTCTTCCTTGAAGATGAAGGAAGGGGAGGGAGTGGCTGCATACTGGGCGCGTGCCGAGGACTTGAGGTCCAAGTACTTGGCTGCAGAAGGGAAAGAGGAGGTTGAGGAGTGGATGATGAGGGTACTCAAAGGACTACCTCCTCACTTTGAGATGCTGAAGGTAGTGCTGAACAACCAATCACCATCGCTTACTAAGGATCAGCTGCTTACCTCCTTGAGGAGCGAGGAGATGCGGATTGGTGTCGCACCAAGATCGGATGGTGTAGCCACTTTTGGAGCGGGTACGAAAGTGGGCAGCAGCGGCAGGGGAAATTGGGACAAGGGAGGAAAGCATGGAGGCAGCGGTAGCAGCAGTGACACCAACTCGGGCAGATGGGGTCAAGGAAAAGGCAAAGCGGGAGTGCTTGATTTCCCCTGGGGGTCCAAGGGCATGGCTCCTCGGGGGTTGTGTCATGGCTGTTGGGATGAGGGACATGCATGGCAGCGATATCCTCATCGACCTAAGGGAGGCATTCCGGCATTCTTAAAGCGGGGGGGTCGTGGATCCAACGGCAAAGCACAGGTGGCGGATGAGGAGGAGCAGATGAGGAGGAGCAGGATGACAAGGCAGAGGCAGTGGTTGGAGAGGCAGTTGTAGCAGTAGGAGAGGAGCAACCGCGAGAGGGGTGGTGGATTGACAGTGGGGCCAGCCACAACTTTACTCCTTATGCATCGGACTTCAAAAGTAAGCTTCAGCCACCAGAGGTTCGGGGAGTTAGATTGGGAGATGGACGGGTGGTGAAAGCTGTTGGCATGGGTGAGGTGCCAGTGGTTGGTGCTGGAGGTCAGCTGCTGAGGATTCAAAAGGTCCACCTTGTGCCTGAAATGCACACGCGTCTGCTGTCAGTCCCACACCTCACCTCTCGAGATGTCATTGTCACATTCAAGGGCAAGAAATTTGTTCTTAAACGGGGGGGGAGGGTGTTGGCGATTGGAGAAAAGGAGAGGGGCAGGGACCATGGATTGGTGCGGATGCCTCTTCCTCTTGCTCGGGGCACACAAGGCAGTGCTCTTGCAGCTGGGTCCTCCTCCTCATTTTCCCCATTGACCCTTGCTCATCGCCGCCTTGGTCACACCGCCCCCACAACATTGCAATAGATGGCTCGGGGGAACAGTGTACTGGGCTTGGAGATCGGGGGGGGGGGGGGGGGGGGCACTGATTGCTCCCCATATGAGCCTTGCTTATTGGGAAAGTCGGCTCGGAAGCCGTTTCCCCACGAGGCGTCTCAGGCACTTGGGCCTTTGGATGAGGTCCACATGGATTTGTGGGGGCCAGTGCGCACACCGTCACTGGGAGGAGCGGTGTATGTCCTCAGTCTCATTGACGATTTCACCAGACGAGTTTGGTCGTTCCCACTCCCCAACAAGGAATCGGCCACAGTCGCAAAAGTCCTTCGCCAATGGCATAAGGACGTGGAGTTGGAGTGTGGGCGGAAGCTGAAGGCTGTTCGCTCCGACAGGGGTGGCGAGTTCTTGGGGGACGCTGTGAAAGCATGGAAAGCGGAGTTTGGCATCAAAACCCAATTGAGTGTCGCAGATACACCGCAGCAGAATGGGGTCGTGGAGAGGTGGCACAGGACGATGGCAGAGGGGATTCGCACATTGTTGGTCGACAGTGGTCTCCCTGCTCGCTTGTGGGGTGAAGCATTGATGTGGGTCATGTGGGTTAAGAACAGGGCCACCCACAGTGCTTTGCCTGCCTCCATCACACCAATGGAGGCGTGGTCCGGCCAAAAGCCGCATGTAGGCATGGCTCGGATTTGGGGTTGCATGGGGAGTGTCATGCTGCATGGGCATGAGAAGGGTGGCAAGCTTGATGCACGGGCTGTCATGTGTGTCTGTGTTGGGGTGGACATGGAGAGCAAGGGTTGGCGCATGCTGGACCCTTCTCTCATGCGCATTCGCATTGCTCGGGATGTTGATTTTCTTGAGAATGTGATGTGGAAGGATTGGGACAAGGCAAAGGGATTTGGGGAGCTTCTGCAGGATGCAGCTGCGATTTCCCAACTCCTCCCTCTTCCACTCTGGCCACCCTCAGCAACGGCTGACGACGTTGAGATGCCACCTTCATCACGGCCACCGGCACCGCTGAGTGTGTCGGTGCAGCAGCAGCCCACCCCTCTGCAGCAGCTTAGTGGCCCCTCGGTCATTCAGCGGAGATCCGCTACACAGGCTACTTCCTCTTCCTCCTCCTCTGGTCAGCGCTCTGTCCCTCTCTCTACGGGTGCCCCTCCGTCACCAGCGACTACCTCCCCACCACCGGTTACGGGTTTGCAGGTGCTTGGTATCCAGTCTGGTACAGGTGGTGAGGAGGTCGGGGGGGATGCTGGTGTGGTTGAGGGCATGCTGTGTTTGGCCAAGGAGGTGGAAGGTGTTGCACTGGCAGGTGTGAGCACCGGTGATGTCCCACGCACACTCGCTGAGGCCCTGCGTGGCCCTGAGGGCCCTGCGTGGAAGGCAGGCGCAGAGAAGGAGGTAAATGCAATGCGCACTATGGGTGTATGGGATCCAGAGCCGGTCGACTTACCTCCAAGTAAGAAGGCCATTGGGGTCAGGTACGTTTTCCGCAGGAAAACTGACAAGGAGGATAAGGTGGTACTGCACAAGGTTCGCCTTGTTGCTAAGGGGTACACTCAGGAGCCCGAGAAGGACTATGATCAGGTATTTGCCCCTGTGGGCAAGCTCACCTCAGGTCGGGTGCTTCTTGCAGAAGCCGCGGTAAAAGGGTGGCATGTACAACAGGAGGATGTTGATCATGCTTACCTCAATGCAGTTCTTCAAGAGGAGGTGTATGTGAGGCAACCTGAGGGATTTGATGATGGTACAGGTAGGGTGTATCGCTTGCGCAAAGCTCTCTATGGGCTCAAGCAAGCGCCTCGTGCTTGGAATGAGGAGATTGGTACCACCCTGATTGCAGCAGGGTTTGACCGCAGTGCATGTGATGAGGCTCTGTACATCAGGTTTGTGGATGAAGAGCCAGTGTATGTATTGGTGTATGTGGATGACCTCTTGCTTGTGTCTCCACGCTTGGAGCTGATCGGTCAGGTCAAGGAGGTGCTTGCTCAGAGGTACCAGATGAAGGATCTAGGTGAGGTATCCACGTACCTTGGTGTGGAGGTTCGCAGGTCGGTCAAGGATGGGTGGTTGGAGATTGGTCAGGAGAAGTATGTCCGTGGTCTCCAGGGAAGGTTTGGTGATCTGCTGAAGGAGACCCATAGGGTGCATACTCCAATGTCACCCAATGATCTCTCTAAGATCAGGAATGGTACTTGGTCGACTGAGGAAGGTGTTGTAGCTGATGTCAAGGTGTACCAGAGTCTCATTGGCAGCTTGATGTATGCTGCTGTGACCACCCGTCCTGACATGTCTTTCACTGTCAACACCCTTGCACAGTCCTGCGTGGCACCAACACGCATTCACATGCGCGCGCTGCACTGAGAGCACTCAGGTACTTGGTCGACACAGCTGATCGTGTCATCAGGTATGAGCGCCAAGGTGGTGAGCAGGTTGTTGGGTACACAGACTCGGATTGGGGTGGTGAGACTGATGGCAAGAGTCGCTCTGCCTACATCTTTAAGCTGGGAGGAGGAGCTATCAGCTGGTATAGCAAAAAGCAAGACAGTGTTGTAGCAAGCGTTCTGAAGCTGAGTACAAAGCTCTATCGGAGGGGGCCAAGGAGGCCATTTGGTTGAGGATTTTGTTGGCAGAGATGCATGTGGGGGATGGGGGGGCTATTCCATTGCTCTGTGATAATGAGGCTGCTGTCTCCCTTGCCCACAATCCCGTTCTCCATCAGCGCAGCAAGCACATTAAGGTGGCATGGCACTTTGTACGGGATGCGGTGCGCCAGCAGGAGGTCGAGGTGCACTCAGTACGCTCCCACCTCCAGGATGCCGATATGCTAACCAAACTCTTCCAAGCTTGCAGCTGCATGAGAACTTGGAGCGCATCGGCATGCGAGTGATGGCTGCGAAGGCCAAGGCTTCATTCGCTGGAGGGGTTGTGTTTTGATTTATGGGTGAACTTTAATGCTTATTGGAGCAAGGGGGGGTGTTGGAATTAAGGTTAATTCGGGTTGCTCCAATAAACATATGTAGTGATACATCTACACTATAGTAGTGTAGAATACATTGGTTGGGTTGGGAGAACTTGTGGTGTACACTCTATAGAGTGGACCACCTCCCAAACCCCATAGGTTAGGGTTCTCTCTTGTTGGAACTTCACTTCTTGGAAACCACTTTGGTTCTAGCATGGTTCATGCCCAAGTGGGCTCCTAAGATTCCTAGGCTTTAGGAGGAAGTTCTAAGACTACTAAAGCTTCCGCTAGTAGCTTAGTCCATTCTAACAACTCCCACTGCCATCTCACTCCCATCCCCCACCCACTCCCACTGCCATCTCACTCCCATCCCCCACTCACTCCCACTGCCATCTCACTCCTGTCCCCCACTCACTCCCACTGCCATCTCACTCCCGTCCCCCACTCACTCCGAATGCATCCCCTACTCACTCCCACTGCCTTCTCTGCCATGCAGGAAACGAAGCCTGGTGGGGCAGCAAGAGGTCCACCAGGCAGGCTGCAGCCAAGTCTCGCTATGATCAAATGTGCAGTCATGCTGGGGAATCGACCAACAACGGCCCACTGAGGGCCGTTTGGGATGTGTGCTGTTGAGTTTTTGGATTGTGAGATTTTTTTTTTTTTTTTTTTTTTTTTTTTTTTTTTTTTTTTTTTGTGAAGTACGTAATTGCAATGTGCTATCTAGCTTCGTACGTGCTGCAACGGGTGAATTATTTCCCACAAGCAAGTGAGCTTCTGCAATTTGCGGAGAAATCAAATGGGCTTGTAACAAATATGTTTTCTCACTGTAGGTGTTACGAGTGCAATTGAGTGAGCGAGCGAGAATTGCACTATCGAAGCAAGAGTACAATGAGCGAAGGCATGAGCGAAGAATATATACCGGAACTACACTGGTAACGGTAATGCGTGAAAATAAGATGCGCGACGGGCCTAGCGCCAAGGCTGGGAGTTGTCGAGGCGGATGTCCGGAGCGTGGGTTGTCAAATATATATGCTATAGTTTATCTAGGCTGTAGTGGGGTAGTTCTTATAGGGTACAACACTTTTAGGTTTCCTACTTGTACCCACCTGCTTCCTAGTTCAGACATTCATTCAGTCAATATTCTAACATGGTATTCTGAGCAGGTTCCCTCGTGGGAACGTTTTTTTTAGGGCCCACCACGAACATTTTTTTTTCCTGCCCAGCCCGAAGCGTGCCTCGCGCCTGCCTTACCTACGCCGTCGCGCGCCCTTCCCTACCTGGCCCGTCGCGGCCCTGTCTCAGCCAGCCCGTCCCGGCCCGTCGCTGCCCGTCGCTGGCCCGTCGCCGGCCCGTCGCCACGCGTCGCGGCCCTGCCTTAGCCGCCCACTGCGGCCCCGTGCCGCCCGTCGCTGGCCCGTCCCGGCCTATTCCGACCCGTCTCGGCCCGTCGCGGCCTGTTCCGGCCCGTCTCGGCCCGTCCCGGCCCGACCCGGCCAGTCGTTGTCCTGTCCCGGCCCCTTTGCCGCCCGTCGTCGGCCCGTTTGCCGCCCGTCGCGGCCACTGCCCTGCAGCCGCCCCCTGTCGCAGCCCTGCCCTGCTGCCGCCCCAGTCGCGGCCCTGCCTTCGCTGCCCGTCACGGCCTCTGCCCTGCAGCCGCCCTGTCGCGGCCCTGCCCTACTACCGCCCCTGTCGCGGCCCTGCCCTGCTGCCGCCCCTGTCGCGGCCCTGTCTTCGACGCCCGTCGCGGCCTCTGCCCTACTGCCGCCCCTGTCGCGGCCCTGCCCTGCTGCCGCCCCGGTCGCGGCCCTGACCTAAACAGCCAACTGCGGCCCAGCCCTGCACCCGCCCCTGGTAAGCACCCGCGCTGCCCTGCCGCGCCGCGCCGCCTGCTGCCGCGCCGCGCCGCCAGGAACCGAGCCGCGCCGCCCAGCCAAGCCGTGCCGCCCAGCCAAGCCGCGCTGCTCTGCCGAGCCGCGCTGCCCTTCTGCTTGCACTGCTTCTGCTGCCACTACTGCTACTGCTGCTACTGCTGCTACTGCTGCCACTGCTGCTACTGCTGCTATTGCTGCTACTGCTGCCACTGCTGCTACTGCTGCTATGGCTAGCCCTACTGTTCTCACCTTTGATGCTGAGGGACGTGCAGTTGACTTTGACGTATGGGTTGACGACCTGCAGCTCTTTCTTCAGTGCGACTCTAGGGATGGGGTATCCCTTTTCGATCACACATCCGGTGTCTCTACTGCGCCTGCTGCCACTGCTGACAGTACGGTTCGCTCGCAGTGGACCACTCGTGACGCTGTTGCTCGCCTTGCTGTTTGTAGTCACCTACCGCCTGCTGAGCGCGCGCATTTTGGCCAGTACAAGACTGCTAAGTCTTTGTACGACGCTGTAGTTGCGCGCTACTCCTCCCCTGCCGCTGCTGCCCTCAACCGCCTCATGCTGCCGTACCTTTTCCCTGACCTTGCCGCCTTTGCCACAGTTGCTGACCTCATTACTCACCTCCGCACTAGTGACGCCCGCTACCGCGCTGCGCTTCCCACTGAGTTCTGTGCCAAGAACCCCCCCCCCCCATGTACATCACCCTTTACTACCTAGTCACTCGCCTCCCTAACTCCCTTGCTTCAGTCAGGGACCACTTTCTCTCCCTTTGCCCCACCGAGCTCACTGTCGACCTGCTAGAGGAGCGCCTCGCTGCAGCTGAGAAGAGTATCTTAGCTGTAGGTGCTTCTCGCGGCAACCGTCGCACCCCTTTCTTTGAGGGGTGTTCCCCTGTCCCCCTTCTCCCCTCTATTGCTTCTGCTGCTGCTGTCGACCTCATTGGCACTGAGGAGGTCGGGGCTGCGTCTGCTCCCAGTGGGAGGCGCCTCAACAGCAAGGGCAAGGGGAGCAAGGGTGGTGGAGGGGACGGCGGGGGCGGCGGCGGAGGCGTTGGAGGAGGCGGAGGGGGTGGCGGTGGAGGTGGGGGTGGTGCCGGGAGTGGGGGCTTCAGTGGCGGCGGTGGAGGTGGTGGAGGCAGCGGCGGAGGTGGTGGAGGCAGCGGCAGCGGTGGTGGAGGCAGCGGCAGCGGTGGTGGAGGTGGCGGCGGCGGTGGTGCTGGTCAAAATGCAGCCGCGCAGCGTGGAGGCTTTGGTGGTAGCCAGCGCCAGCATCAGCCATGTGAAGAGTCTGCAGGGAAGCCTCCATCGGAGGGAACATGGAGGAGTGAGGAGCGACGCGCTGCCGGCCCTTGACACACGGAACACAGGTAGGGGCAGGCCCTGGAGGAAGGGGAGGGAGGGACCAGGAGAGACCCAAGACAAGGGTACGGGAGGCCATACCTCGAACACGAGGCAGGGAGGGATGACCAAGGCGGTGGTGCCAAAGGAGGGTCTCATGCGACAGAGGACGACACGAGCAGGGGGCAGACTCTGGACTAGACCTGGACGCGGCAGCAAACACCTGACTAGACGCGGCTACCTGACCAGACGCAGTGATCGGAGGAGACGTCCTCCCGTGCCGTTCCCTGCGTCTTCCTTGGCTTCCCCCCGGACGCACCTGGGTGGCAGTTCTACCACCCCACCTCGCGTCGTGTTCTATCCTCCCAGGACGTCACGTTTGACGAGTCGGTGTCTTACTACCGTCCTTTCCCTACCGCACTGCCTCTCTCTCCCCCCCGCCACTCTTCCTAGCACCAGGTACTCCTCAGGTAGACCCCCTCCCGCCTCAGGGTCCTGCCCCCTCAGGTGTGTCCCAGGTAGACCCTGCCGAGCCGGTGGAGGTAGCTGTCGACTCAGGTGCTGCAAGGGGTGCTGAGCCTGCGGGTGCGGGGACTGGGGGTGCTGAGCCTGGGGTTTCTGTGTCTGAGGGTGCGGAGCCTGGGGGTGCTGAGCCTGAGCGTGTGGAGCCTGGGGGTGCTGAGCTTGAGCGTGTGGAGCCTGGGGGTGCTGAGCCTGGGGGTGCTGAGTCTGGGAGTGCTGAGCCTGGGGGTGCTGAGCCTGCGTGTGCTGCGTCTGGAGGTCCTCCGGGTGTCCGGTCGCGGCGGGAGCCCCTCTCTGCGAAGCAGCTTCGTGAGTGGTATGCTCGGCGCTGTCGAGGTGCTGCTGGTGCTGCTGGTGCTGGAGTTGCTGCTGGAGCTGCTGGAGGTGCTGCTGGTGCTGAAGCTGCTGGAGCTGCTGGAGGTGTTTCTGGAGCTGCTGGAGCTGCTGCTTGTGCTGGAGTTGCTGGAGGTGCTGCTAAAGGTACTGGTACTGTGGGAGGTCCTGCTGGTGTTGGAGCTGCTGGAGGTGCTGGAGCAGGTGGTCCTGGAGGTGCTCGTACTGGAGGTACTGGAGCTGTTGGGGCTGGTGGTGCTGCAGGAGTTGGAGCTGCAGGTGCTGGAGCTGTTATTACTGGAGGTGCTTCTGGAGCTGGAGCTGCTGGAGGT